TTCAGACCATCCCTTATTATAGTCTTGGGATGGTTTAACAGTAAGACAAAAATAAAAATAAAATAAAACCCAGCATCCTAATCCAATTTTTAACCAAATAAAACCCATATTGCAATAACAGTCAAACCTTAAAATATTGGGTAAATAAAAAGGTTTTATCCTGGCACTGAAAAGAATTAAGTGCCAGTGCCAGACAAACCTCTCTGGTGAGTTTATTCAGGTGCCACCACATTGAAGGCCCTTCTCCAGGTAGTCACTCTCCTAATCTCGTTCAAGGATAATGTTCCTTGGAGGAAGGATGAAATGCCAATGCATCCTTCCATGACTTAGACAGAAATGGAATAAATGGTAGATACTTTGGTGTGAATATTAACCTTGTTTGGGGCTGATAACTTGGGCTTGGGTGCAAGTATTTCCTTCCCACACCCCTTTCATGTTACAGTATGACCCCATCCCTTATTTTACATATGAACAGGCTAGACCTATGAAAAAAATGTGCACCAGGATACATCTCTGCATTCCTGGGATACATCATGGTGGAATAAAACAACAGCGTCTGAATCCAACACATGGGGAGCCATTACCTGTCCACTGCGATAGCTGTGAGAGTGAAGACAGACACATACACTGTCACGGGCTGCATCAGGAACACAAAATAGCACAAGAACTTCCCAAAGACCCATCCCTGGGGGTTGAAGGCATATGCCAAAGTCAAGGGGACACACGTTGTACACATCAGCATATCCGAGAAGGCCAGGTTTCCAATGAAGATGTTGGTGACATTGTGGATCTTCTTGGTCTTGCAGATCACGTAAAGGAGGAGATGGTTGCCAAAGATGCCAACGAGGACCACCAAGGTGTAGCAAGGAATAATCAAAGGTTTGAAAGACTGGATCAGCTGCACACTGGTGCATGAAGAACTTGAATTGGAGCTGCTCCTGAGTGCCACCTGGTAGGTGCTGTCATTGGACGGGCCGTCGCCCCAATGGACAGTGGGTTCCATGAGTACAGTGGGCTCAATCACTCAAGTTGGAGGAGTTGCAGGGAAACAGGTCTAATGAAATTTACTCTGGGGACATGCCCATGACATCAGCGGTTTGGGATCTTGGCATCCCCTCAGAGATGGAAGGCCATTATACCTCTTGATAAAATATGGAGACTGGTTTTGGTCTGGTCCATGATCTCAGTTGCAGAAAGTGTCTTCTCTTCACATCCAAATGTATTTTCTTGGACCAATGCTGGACGAATGGTCTGTTGTACTTGCAGTACACAGGAAACCCAAGATGAAATGACTTTTAAGGGCTGCTACCTTGACTTCTTTACAGTGATGAGGCTACTCTAACCCCCTTTCCCACTACCTCACTTGAAGCCTTTTCCATTTTAGCCTGGGCTGCCTCATTAACGTCTTCATAATTCTGCTCTTCCATCTCTAAATCCCAACAGTTCCATTCTTGCTCAAGGGAATGACCTGTTCCACAGATGCCTGAGAAAGCAGAAGAAAAGGGGAAGTTTAAGAGAATCTCAGTGTCATTGGATCTGTAATCAGCAATTCCCTAAAGAAAGACAAACTGGAAAAAGATGCCAAAGTCAGAGGATAGAAACATGGTGAACTTCAGGATTTTTCTTGCAAGGTGATGGCAGAGCAGGTGGAAATATCCCAGTAACAATCTGGGCTCTGCTGTGAAGTACTTTCCATGGACTACCTTTCAGCTTCATTTGTTTCCCAGATACAGTTTGATACTGGCAGGAGTACAGGCATACAGTAACTCAGACTCCAATAACCTTCCCCTGGAAGGAACCAAACTCTTATTGCCATTAAAATAGGATGGCAGTTTTGGTCCTGTCCCCTTTCCCTTTGGTCCGGCCATCTTTGCCTTTGGTACCACCTGTCGTATTCAGGCTTCCCCAAAGTGGAATTCAGTCCTGGGACTGAAAGAGGTCACATATATGGGGTACATAATTAGATAAAGTGATGCGGGCAGGGATAATCAACAGAAGCTTAGTCTAGAGGAGATGGAGAAATTCCCCATGTTCAGACAACAGGGTAACCCCCTCCTCCTTTCGCAACAACCGTGGTTCAGCAAGCAACCACACTCAGCCCATATTCAACCCTTGAGTGTGGGTTATTTGTATTGTCTGAATGAAGTCATATTGTGCAAGATTTTCCATGTGTACTGTGGCAGCGCAGATGGCATAACAGCATTTCTACACACTGGTTCCCTTTGATAAAACATCCTACAGGATTTTGCTCTTGCCACAAAATGCTAAGCAGTGTTGCTCTCTTTCTCCCTCAATGGAATGATGATGAGATACAGGGAACTGATGAGAAGACATATCCTAAATAAAGGTTGGTTTGTGTTTAGCTTAATCTTAAGCAAGGAAGCTAAGGTCAGTGAGACTTTGTTTTGTGTAGTTCTTGTGGTTAATATTATCAGGTTTTCTGAAAAAGACTTAAGGCACTTTACAGGAAGGAAGGAAGAAAACAACTTGAAACATAACTTTTAAATTGATGGAAAAATACACTACATCCAAAGAATGTTTCCTCAAAAGTAAAGACAGAACTTGCTCCACTGTAAGTGTGCATAGGATGGATCGTACTCTCTGCTTTCCTGAGTAGGATGCAGTCCACTGCAGACACAATAATCTTTTCAGCCGATGCTCAAAGAAGCCTCCAAAGATGAGCTTCAAAAGACAAACAAATACCTGCCTTCATTCCTTTTCTTCCTCTCTAACAAGTCAGACTTTTCCCAGAAAGATGCTAACAAAAGAGATACCTGGGACACATTCTAACCCTCGCAGTATCTGACTATGAAACTCCAGCATGCTTAAAAAACCAAACCAAACAATTGACTGACACGGGAGAGAAATAGAGGGAAAAATTCTTACTGCTTGGGCTCCGTTTGGCATGAACACATGCAAAATAGGGAACCATGCATTCTCTTTTCTACTGACCTGAAGCAAGCATGGCAAAGTCAGGATGAAAAGTCAGAATGAGAACTCCTAGCAGGAAAGCATCATGTGAGTGAGAGAGTGTTTCTGAGTGTGTGTTGTGGGGGGGGGGGGGGAGAGAGAGAGAGAGAGAGACTGAGTAGAGAATATTCAGACCATCGCCTGAGACACTGTGTTCCAGCTGTGCCTGGTGAATTCGATTCCAGGAGATCTTTCAGCTCACGGATACCCTCTGTTGGTGGCTTTTTCATTCTTTGCAAAATTTCTAACAGCATCCCGAGGAAGGACTAACTCACTTTTTCATTGGTGATGTGCCACTATGCCTTTTTTTCCCTTTTGCAGTGCAATTAATACTTGGCTTCTTCCTACTTGATGGGCATGTATTAATGAGCACAAAGCAACATCCGCTGTGTGTATAATGCACACAAGTGCCACATACCCTTACATAGGTTTGCAAGCATGGGAGAAGAACAAGGCATTTGAACAGTCGGTCGTGTTTTATTCTCTCTGATTATCCTGCAAGGACATGCCGTAAGCCACAGTATAGCGCTGTAATTGTGAAAGAGGCTTCAAAAATGTAAAAAAATAGTCTGGTAACTATTTACATAGCTCTGCATCTGGGAAGAATGTTGGTTTTAAAAGGCATTATATGATTGCATAGGTGTTGCGCACTTGCAAAACTCTGTAAGAGCACAGTGAAAAGTATCCTAAGGTACCTACCTGTGGACTTCCACAACCTCTGTGAAGAAATCCCTGTGAAGACAGATAAGCAAGGGGAAGAGAAAGATATGGTAGGGCAAAGAAGGTGGGGCGAAATGTTGGAAAACAGGTTCACAGACCAGAAAGGAGAAGATCTCTCCAGTGCTAGATGATCAGTGTTTATAGGTCAGGAGTGTTGAGAGAAAGGATCCTTGTCCCCTTTGGCTTTTTGGAATTTACCTATTTCCCCTTTGATCTCTGTACTAAGAAGCTTTTCCTCCAAGATGTATAGAGCATGTGCTGTGAACATCCAGCCTTAGAAATGCCTTTTTCCTTGATGCTTTGTTCTGTTGTTTTCTTTCTCACTCCATTCCACAAAAGAAGCTCTACAGCTTGAAATCCATGCTTCCTGTTAAGAACAATTCTTTTTCTTTCATTGAGAAAGAAACTCAGATAATTTCATAGCACATGAGGTGGGGTGGAGATATGAGAAAAGCTGCTGTGTGGGAATGAATGTTGAAGAAAGAGCACCTGAGCAACAGGACGTGTTGCATGGAAGTGAGCAATGCTTTACAGTACCAGAAAAAAATGCTGGTATCCATTGGCCGCTAAACTAGACATGTTTGCAAGGTAAGTGCAGGTTGCTTCTGGATGAAACTTTTGCAACATAATTGCTTTGATTCACTCACAACATTTTATGGGAGGTCTGAATGACATCATCTTTCACATGTGCCCCTCCGACATTTTCCTGCTCCCCCCACCCCGCTTCCCCCCTCCCCACACTCAACATTTGTTATGAAGGAAAAGATGGAACACATATGCAATGGTTTTTCAGGGAAACCCCTAGGGAATCTCCATCTTTAATCACCTGGCACTTTTCAGGGGTTTTGCTGGTACATCCAGATTGCAATTAAAATGTAATCCCAAACCAGTCTGTGGGCAATTAAAATTATTCATAAATAAATGGCAACTTTGCAAGTGAATTCTTCATATCCACATTTGCAATGCTATTTAAATAAGTATAAGCACATTTAAATTATTATTATTATTATTATTATTATTATTATTATTAT